CCCTTCTTTGATGCTAGGTAAGCAGCATTCTGAGAAAGATGAATAACCATTAGGATTTTGAAAGACTGTACTAAGAAACCTACATTTGTAAGATTCTCGAGAAGGGTAAATGATTAAATGGGAAGGACATGCTTGCCTCTATTTTGATTAGAATTCCTGTAACAGCTTTTGCCTTCGCAAACTCCAAAAAATTCGTGAGGGTCGTGAATTTATCCTGGTTCTGGGCTTTGATAACCAGCATTCTGTCCGAAGGGGCTTATAATTTGAGCTGAAACAAAGAAACGTGTACCGTTAATGTGAATGCTAGATGATAATTAGAGCTAACCTGTTTGTAGTGGATGTGGCAATTGTGTTAAAGAACTTTACGCTTCAAGGTTTGGATCTCGCTCCATGTAAGATCAAATGAAAAGATTCCATTTTCCTTCTGAATTTCGGGGACACTGGAAGAATGAGACATGAAGGTCATAACTGCGTTAGTATCCCCGATAAGATCCGGTGAATCCAAACAGAAGGCTACTCCATCTTTGGACATTTGAACCGTGCAATCTATGACATCAGCTCCATCATTTACCGCTTGCTCGTACGCAAGATCAGTGCATCCAGGATAGATCCCATTTGCGCCATTGTGAGATATGATCAAAACTTTTCCTGTGAAGGCACAGAATCATATGAAAACATTATACTTCTTGATAACTTGATTTTATCAGAAATAGAACATATGTTAAGAACTCAAGATTAGTGACGACCATGACTAGGCTTGGTGCCATTGTTCATTGCAAAGCATGCTGCACCAGAATGAAAGAGACTCGGCGGGTTAGACTTAGATCACAACTCAAGCATGTGATAATGTTGAAATAAGAGAAAAGGCAAGATGCTCATTGATTGATCTCACCAATGGTTTCCGCTGCTGTCATTGGGAAAGCTGTAATCACAACATCAACAGAAAACTGGGAATTGTCCATGAACTGCAGGTACACTGTTGTTGGATCATAACTATAATTGTAACTTGCTGGCATATCATTCGCAAAACCAGAAGCATGTACTTCAAGCCCAAGCTTGTGAGCATCACCCACAAGAGTTGTAGAAGGCCCCAGGTATTTGTTTGGATTAACAGGCCATATGTATCCCTTGGGAACTAGAATCCCAGATGCAAATGCCTTGATTGCCGCAAGATTCAGCAATAAAGAACCGTATGTTTGATTGGTTGTGGGTTCAACTGCATTTGAATCCAAGAATACAAAGATGAGCTTCATCCTGGCTTTGTTAACTCTTCCTCCAATTGCCTTCAAAAAGCTGATCTCAGGAGATGGAATGTAATCTATACACATAGATCTCATTGCCGTTTGCAAATATGCTAACACACTAAGACCATGCTGGGTATAGAATGTATCATTCTGCAATGAAGAGTAGATTAAATGAGTCATGATCTAGTCAGCTAGGTCCATGTAATGTAAATTAGGAACAAGAAGAGAAGAGATGGTATCATCTGAAATGCAAGATTAGAGAAGAAATAGCAGACCGGAACTTTCAACCAAAACACTGGAGGTTTGGCTCCTGCAACATCCGCAACAGTAGATACTGGCACTCCATCAATAGCTAATTTTTTTTAAAACCAACTCAGTTCAGACTACAACAAACCGTTCTCATTTTTTATTTATTGTTCATGCTTATTGGGACGGTGATGTCTTTAGCGGGAAAAGACAGCCCTAATCCCTAACGGCTTAAACTGAATATTGGTTCCTTAGACCATTCAAGGCCCAGCACCAGCACGTGGCTTACTAACTGCTCAAGGAAAAAAAAAATTACTGGAACACTTAAAACTTGAATTTTATACTAAGAATTTTTCTCGAAATTTTTTATTATCAAAAAGAAAAAAGAAAAAAAAAAGGCCCAATAGCCACCTAAAATAAGCCTGATTTTGGCCTTTTAAGGATCCAAACCCTTTCACCGATTTGGGGTGGGCTTAGAGTGAAAAATACGACGGGTCCACGATTAGATGAAATCCGACGGCTGATACGAGACTGTCATGGGTATGTCAAAATGAGTGGCGCTGATCTCACTCAATCATTGCAAGAGGTTGCATCAGAAAATTCCCCACCGCGGAGTGTCGGCACGTGCCACGTGATCTAAAAATCCCGAAAGCTAAGCGATTGCAGTTACTACAAGAAGGTTCGACCGCAGGGGATCTGAATTCCACGCTTTCTTGGCTTTCTTCCTCTACCAGCGTAAGTTTAACGTGGAGGGGCTTTTGCTCGGAAAAATCTAGACGGAGATGAAGATCACGGCGTTATTGGTGTTGAAGATCAATCCGGACGGATCCGATCCGATTATACTAGCCAACGCCTCCGATGTCAGCCGTTTCGGCTACTTTCAGAGGTCCAGCGTCAAGGAATTCATCGTCTTCGTATCTCGAACCGTCGCCAAGCGCACCCCGCCCGGCCAACGCCAGTCCGTCCAGCACGAAGGTCCGTTCTCCTCTTTCTAGCACGAAGGCCTCCTTTTTTTTCACAGGTTGTGAATTGAATTTTGATTTTTGGATGTCGGATTTCAAGTTTCTTTGGCGGTTGGGGTTTCTAAGGCTGTGTTTAGATCCTTGACTTTGCGACGTTGATTAATTCCCTTTTGATTTGAAAATGAAGCTGCAATTTAACTTTTTTTCAGAAATTGAAGAAAATAATTCATGAATTTAGATTTTATCTAACCTAAAATTGAAGATTCATTTATTTATTTATAATTTTCTATGGCAATCTTTTGTATCTAAGAAGTGATCACCTTGTAGGCATTCGCCAGCGCTCATTCTTATTAATTCTTATGTTTGAGAGAGTAAGGATGGTTTCTTTTACGTTTTAAGCTTTAAATTCTCAGTTGCTGAGAGATGAATTCGGTGATGAATGAGGCTTTATGCTTTTATTTTTGTGGCATTGTGTAGAGTACAAGGTGCATGCATACAACACAAATGGCCTTTGTGCTTTGGGATTTATGGATGATCACTATCCCGTTCGAAGTGCATTTTCACTTCTCAACCAGGTAAAATCCCATATTTTCCAAATGTGTAGTTTATTTTTTATCAAAGGACATCAGCTCAGGGGCTGTGGCATTTTTAATTTCTTATGCTATTCTTATAAATCACAAGAACAGTGTATACAACTTTAGGTTTATGTTGAATATCTAACTGCTGCAAGGACCTAAGTTCCAACTAAATCTAAGAAATTATTTCTCTTTACCCCTTATTCGCATTCAGTTAGTATGTCTCTTAGGCAGCTGTTAAAATGTATAAGAGAATAAGATGAAGTTAGCTGCTGATTGGCAGAGAGTAATTATTGTGTACTCACTTTTTCCAAGTCTATTGTGCCTGTTGGGGATTTGGGTGTGCTTGGCATGAGGTATGCTTGACTGTGTTTGAACAATAATAACTACAAGATAGTGTGGAATTTGGTGGCTATTATTCCCTTCTCTCAGCATGTGCTAATCCATACGTGAAGTTGGAGAGAACACTGGGATTTTGGCGGAGCAGTAGCTATGTACTCGAAAACTTGAACTGTCCTTATGGTTAAATGTTTAGAATTTTAGAGGCATAATTTGGATTGTCCATATGCTTAGGTTTTAGGTGAACAAACAGGTCAAAAAATGTAAGAGCCTATCTTTGTATGTTGGGCTTCATTCTTGGGGGCTTTGTCAATGAGTTATGAACTTGCTTCAGTGACTTTTTTTTGGTACATAGAATTATTTTATCCTCAGATCTGGTGCATATGTATTTTTCTGCTTATTCTTCATTGGTGGTGGTGTTACATTTTTAGTTGGCATATGCTCATCTATGGATATGAATTTGTAATACTTGGCAGGTGTTAGATGAGTATCAGAAAAATTTTGGAGAGTCATGGAGGACGGTGCAAGCAGATAGCACTCAACCATGGCCCTATCTGAATGAAGCTTTGACCAAGTTCCAGGTAAAGTCTAACTTTACTGATTTTAAGGGTGAAAATCACTGGAGCCATAGAAGAGTTATTTGATGAACTTTCTAAACTTCTTCCTATCTCTAGGACCCTGCAGAGGCAGATAAGTTATTGAAGATTCAAAGGGAGCTGGATGAAACCAAGATTATCCTTGTAAGTATTTTTATGGTTTCAATTCCTGTTAAATTGTTATCTGCTAGTGGATTTAATGGATCATCATGTTCAGTAGTTTCATATATGTGAGTCCTATCTGTGAATTTATTTTTTTTATGATATCTTTTGTTTCCAACTGTCAAGTTAGTTCTAATTTTCACTTTGGTGGTTGTTTCTGTTATATGCAACAGTTCTCTTATAATGTTCTATTGCAAGTAGTGATACCATGCATCCAATTTGGGTTGGAAAATGAGATTGATGTCTGCAAGTGTTTGTGTGTGTTTGGTGGTTTACTAATCTCTCACTCTCTGATAAACAATTCTTTGTCAATGCAGCACAAAACCATTGATAGTGTTCTTGCACGAGGTGAGAGGCTGGACAGTTTAGTTGAGAAGAGTTCAGATTTGAGTGCAGCTTCTCAGGTACTTGTCAAGGGCTGATTTACAAATGCATTAAAAATGTTCATATACATCAAAATGTATTTGCAGGCATATTTCTAGTTGAAGTATTTGCTTTAACATTCACATCTTCAATTTTACATTTTCATATTCATCCAATCACAAAATTAGGGATCATTGCTAAATGCTTACATGCAAAGCTTTCCTCTATTATTGAAACAGATGTTCTACAAGCAGGCGAAGAAAACCAATTCATGTTGTACCATACTATAATTTTCTGGAGAAAAGCAGTTATCCTGTGAAGGTGTGCACTTGTTCTAGTGTTGAAGCTATTGATTTTGATGGCAAAATGCGAAGTGCAATATATATATTTCATATCGCCTGTTAATTGTTTATGCGAAAAAAATCCCTGTGGCTTTCCCCTTCTTTATGTTTGTCTTCTGGATAGAAAAGTGAATTGGAATGTTCAGAAACAATTTTCTTTCGACAGTACTAATAGGCTGTCCTCTGATTATTAGATTTCGTTTCTTTGGAGTAAGCCAATTCTTCTCTTCTGATCATATGGTACATATTAATGTTGGATCGTCTTCTCAGAGCAGTTCCATTTTTCTTGTCCTTGGAGCAAATGTTTTCACCTTCTACTTGAATTCAAGAAACAACATAGATCAATGACCAAAGTCTTTGTCTTAAGATGGTCTCTTTGGTTGGTAATTTTGGGGAGAGAATCCACTACAAATGTTTTACCGTTTAAATTAGTATGTACTCTAAATTGCACTTAAGCAGTTTTCGAAGGGATCAGACTAAATTGCACTTTAAGCAGTTTGAGAAGAGATCAGGCTATTGTCCATAGCAAAGTAGAAGTACTGAAAAGAAACAAGATAGGGATCAAATCAAATCATCAAACACAGAAATCTAATATTCAGATCATTCAATTATTACATTAATAAAAACAGCCATTTGATTAAGAGAGATCCTTGATATTGGACTAATCTAATAACTAATATTTTGCAATTTAGAACGAAATTTGATAAAAATAAAAACTCGACATTCATAAAGATTATCTAGGAAAACACCCATACTTTACCACTGCTCTCTTAATCTGATTCTCCTAACTCGTAGATTTTTAGCCCTACCATTTATTGCAACATTCATTTTCCTTGATACCCTACTTTCCAAGGATGGATTTGAACCACCAAATGCCTTTGGTGTCTCTAGGAGTCTCCTCTCCCTCCGGTGGAGGGTCACTTTGTGGTGTCTTGTGCAGTTTGCTTACATCATAACCTTCATCTTTTGCCTTCTGCAACAGCTGATTGTAGATCTTCTCATCCATATGTGTTTGCCTGCATAATATCTTCAAAACCATACCCAAATTCAACAAAACCCATCAAACACATGCACAAACTCAAAAGGCCAATGCTAATAAAAACAAACATACATGCATAAAAAGAGTCCCCACATATTAAAAAGGTTAAGCTTCAGTATTCATGTCTCAAGTTCAAACCTTAGTGTCAATTAATAAGGGGTATTCATGTTGTAATGATATAGGCAATTAAAGTGCACAAAAATTAGAAAATGCACAGTTGCACACACAACAAAACAAAACAGAGATTTAGAATTGAAAGGATTAAGGCAAACCTACGTACCCAAAGATACTTCCTGCTAGGCTGCCCAATCAAGGCATACTGATAATCATCATCAATAAACAACACCCAGTAATCTCCCACCACAGGAATGATGGGCAAGAACGGCGGCACATAGAATTTAACCTTGAGTTTGGCCTCATCACTCTTGGGATCCGCCTTGTACGCCGTCCCTTCTATGTACCCTCTCTTACCGTCCGTCCATGTCTCATTCAGCACGTTGACCGTTCCATCCTCTTTCAGAGTATAGGTAGCCCTGGTGTTCACTCCATTCTTGGGCTGAAAAGTCGACGGAAACGAAGCAATCTCGTACCACCTCCCCATGTACCTATTGATGTCCAAATTCCTCACCACTTCCATCTCCTTGCTCGCCATGTTCCTGGGTTGTCCTCTGTTTTCCCCCGTTAGGGTTTGGGTTTGGGTTTGGGTTTAAGCTGAATCTGAATGTGGGAAGGACGGATGGGGTAAGTATACGTAAGGAGAAAAGATTGAAATTGTTGAATGTGACGTGGAGCATTGAGGAGCCCACATTTGTGATTAACGACGGTGTGAAATTGCTACCTTCCAGATGTATAAGGAAGCTCCTAGAGTGTCCTAGCTAGGTACGTCTTAGTAATTAAGAGATCATTAATCTCTATGCTTGAATATGAGATAGTTGGAGAAAAATTTAGAAAAAAGAGAGTTTAATTTCTATGTTTAAATCTTAAAATATATGAAAAAATATTTTAAAGAGGAAAATTTTGTACGGCCTAGCATTCAAAATACCAAAAGAAAAAGAGAAGCTTGTAGCCTGTTTGTTTGCTCTCATGGGCCCTGTGGTTGGGAAGTTTACTTGGAAGGGAAGAACCTTAGCAAGTAAGGAAAAGGAAAATGATGGAGGGGAAGGTTCCCATTTGTCATTCAAGGAAATAATCACGGAAAAAGGACGAAAAATGGCGAGAAGATGTCCAAAGTCCAAACATCAACTTCGCATCCCAAGTTTTTCTTCTTTTTTTTTTCTAATATATTACAAAATTCGTTATATGACATAACAAATATTTGAAACTATAACTTTAACTTTAAATTAGGTATTTTTAGTTAATCTTTTTAGAGATAATCATGTGATTCATATTTTTCTGGAAGCAATTAGTTTGTATCTTGTCTCGCCCGCACACAGATTTGAACCCAAGTAAGTATTATTTGGTGGTTTTGGGACTTTTGAGGTATGAGTCGGACCATTGGAGCTCGACAGGGTGAGGAACCTTATCCTGATCCTGGGACCGCCATGCAGTCTGCCAACCCAGGGTTGCCAGTTGCCACCCAAATATATGAAGGCTTGGCATGACCTTTGTGAGATAGTATTAAATTCTTCTCTCTTATTTTGTTTATTTATTTATTTTAAATGTTGGATAATTAGAGAAAGAAGATCAGGTCAAAAGTAAGGAAGAGGACCATCCTATTATAAAATGATTGATCACACTAATAGTAATAGATTGGCAAATTCAGGAGAAATCAATCACATAATTAATTGATTTTAAGGATAATTCCTGATTGGGGCGGTTTAAAAAAAAATTAAGACTATTTAGGGGAGGTTGAATAAGAGATTGAATGTAATTCCATGAATAAGAGATTATATAATTAATCATTTCCTTGTGTGTGTGTGTTTTTTGCATCATTTTCTTGTGTTTTTATATATCCCTTATCCATGGTTATTTATTAGATAAGAGTATAAGAATATAGTTCATTGTGAAGAATTCAATTCATTCGACATATATGGAAAACCAAAAAATTCAAAAAATGTCATACATGGATGTTTAATAAATATATTCTAACATTACCAAAAAAAAAAAATAATATTAAAGATTCCTTAAAGAAAATTACAGTTTTTTTATTTTTGAATGAAGAGATGCATTTTTCTTCAAATAGGTATGTCTCTCTAGTGGGTTTTTTCGTTTTAGCTAGCTTCGTTCTTGGGCTTGTTAAAAATATTCAGAGAAGAGAGTTGCACAGCACTTGCAGAGGAAGCTATGCTTTTGGGCTGTGGCCTCAACCAATCAAAGCACCGGCCTTCTGGCCCAAGTATAGATACTTCATAATTTATACTTGTATTAAAAAAAATTAGTTTAATTTTATTAAATGTTTAATTAAAATATTATACATGACATTATTATTAAAAAAAATAATTTTAAAAATTTTATATAAATTAATAATTAAAAATTTAATAAATATACCTTAAAAGCACAAATAAACAAACCCTTTGGCCTAAAATTTTCATTTTAAAAACAATAATAATTTACTACATAGATTTTAGATTTTTTTTTCTTTTTTGCTTTTTTTTTTTGAGAGGTCAATTGTACATTATTTTACTTTATGAATTTTTACTTGGTAATTCTGACAAGAGAAGCTTGTGATGTGAATCACCACTTGCTCTAAAGATGAGAACCAACTAAATTTAAACTTTATATTTAATGCTTGAATTCCAATTCTTAGTTCGTAAAAAATAGTATTACTTTTCTTTAACTTTAATAATCTTAATATAACTTTTTTTTCATTTTTTATATATTAATTTAAAATAAAATTTTAATAAAGTAAATGACAATTAAAATTTTTTTATCAAATAAAATTACACAATAAAAAATAAGAAATGATTTTGGGATAATTTTTTTGTATCATCTTTTTGTACAATTTGACTTGTTATTTAAATGATTGATTTTTTTAATTCATGTGAGATCCGTAATATTAAATGCATTCACTTATTTAATAATATATGAAAATTGTATCAAAAAATAATATAAAAAAATTATCTTTATAGCACCGTCTATAAAAAATTATGTATATAAAAAGGGGAATTTTAATTATCATTTATATGTCTATGTTAAATAAAAAATTTATAATTAATATTTAAAAAATAAAAAAAAACTAAAATTAAATGGTGAGTAATATATTTAAGTAAATTGTTTATTTTTAGCACAATAATTGGATCCGGACAAGCTAAATGTAAAAATGAAATCTATAGTTTGCCCAAAAAATCACTTATCTTCGGAT